ACATTTTGCTTCATTTTTTCTTCTTGCCTGTCTGTCTTTTATGTCTGTATTTTATTCACAGAATAAGTCGCAGACACCGACCACCCCTAGCTGGAACTGACCCTTCGCTAATTCCCGCCCCTGGAACGCAGAATGGCCAATCATAGCGTAGCATCGACCAGCTGTCTGCCGACAACTATCCATCTCTGCCCTCATGTAGTGATTTCAGATTGTGTTTCATTTTCAGGCTGGTTAAACGTTGTACAATAGTGATACTCGTTACCAGGAGAGGTTGGACGGAGGTATACGTTTCTAAAATGAAATAATGCTGACTAAATACATCAGTATTTAATGCATACTGCTCACAATACTAAGAACGATTGAGTATCATGTTACCAGCAGATTGATCATGCTGACGTATGCTCAAGCAAGATGTATCACATGACTAATCCGGTCTCAAGGCACCCGCCATGCGGCTCTGTCACAGCTCCGAATGCGTCACAAGACATTTTGTTTTGCACAAGAAAAGTTTTTTGGTTATACTTACCATATATGGCAATCCATACGTTTACTTTCTCACCTTAAAACTTAATAAAGTGACATTTTAACAACTTGGCTCAAAATCTCACATGACATGGTCTCAAGGAAGCTCGCCAGTGGCAGCAGTTACTTTCTTGCACGAAAACATATTAAAACTTAGTCTTTAAACACATATTAAGAGCCTTTAGCCTGGCTCAAAGTCTTACGAGTGACAGCCCGGTCCCAAGGCACTCAGACACAATGCATTGTGGGGCAGTTGCGCAGTAAGCTCACGCCTTATACTTCGGAATTCACGCTGGTACACCCATCCATTTCTCTTCTACACAAAATCGACATACAATGCAATGTGAGTGTGTTACATACTCAATTTTCCCTAATATTTCGTGAATATATACTTGAATATATGTTAATATGGGATTTCAAAACCCGGCCGTGGACTTTAGGATGACGATGCAAATGTCAGTGGTGAGGATGTTCTGTTTTGTAATTCCATAGAAGGCCAAGTTTTATTACAGCGATTGTTTTGTTTCTCTCCTTTCATTCCTTAGTTTTCCCTTCATACCTTCACACAAGCACATTCACACACAGATAACGCCCATAGCCGACACAAACACATCACATACCACCTCGCTCCATAGTGCGCTATATTAATTAATTAGGACTGTAACTAGGAACATTCACTAAAGTACTCTTTTTAAGTACAGTTTGGAGGTACTTGTACTTTACTTCCGTACTTCTACTTTATACTTTTACTCCACTATATTTCAGAGTTACTCTGCTGTTGAAGAATTTACACACACTATGAACAGTTTATAAACTATGATTATTTGTTATTGATTAATATAAGCTCCTTCTCCACCAGCTTCAGCATTTTTAATGGTAAATGGACTTGGACTTGTACAGCGCTTTTCTAGTCTTCCGACCACTCAAAGCTTTAACACTACATGTCATCATTCACCCATTCACACCCATTCATACACTGATGACAGGGGCTAACATGAAAGGTGCCACCTGCTCTAACTAACTCATACCCATTCATACACGGTTTGGGGTTAAGTGTCTTGCCCACATTGACGTCACCCAGACCATCAGTCCTGCTCTCAGCCTTCAGGATGTCATGATCAAAAGCAGTTTCTGGAGTTTGTAACCCTCTTGTGGACGAGTTAGAGAAGTAAGTGAGTGTGAGATAGCTTTGAGCATTCAGTATGTCCTGGACTCCTTGGATCCTGTATTTCATTCAGCCTGCTAGGATGATGAGGTCTTGGACTAAAGGGGATGACCGTCAACAAACAGGAAGAGATAGAGGACACCTTAAGCACACAAAATGATGAGGAACCAAAGAGGAAGTCAGGACAAGAGATGGAGAGGGAGAGGGAGAAGGTTAATGGCATTATTAGTCAATTACTGCACATTTTAACTGAATTTCCATTTTCCAAATTACCCATTCGGGTGCCAAAACGCTGCAGAAGAAGAGGATGCAACGAGATGAGTTTATGCCCAAAGACTATATTTAGTATGATAATGCTTTGGCTAAGTATCTAACAGTACAACTTTTAAGTCGTCAAAGTTTTTGAAAAACGTAGAAAAACGCTAACATTGTGTTTATTAAATATTCAATATTAGAAATAATTCACCCTGCATATGTGTGCATACCTTTGACATCACCTGTATTGAGTTCATAGATTGCAAATACTTGATTATGCTCCTGATCATTTTCTTATCATACTATAGTTAGTCTTGGGGCACATGGGACTACCTCCTAAAATATAATGAAATATAAAAAAAATACAGTAGTCCCATCATGTGCCCAAATAATATATATAGTGCGATAAGAAAACGTAATTTTTCAGCTAAACAGTTTAATTTAGAAAATATATGCACCAACAGCACCATTTTGTAATAAGTAAAGTAAATGTGTGGTCATGGAGTGCCCTCTGTTGAGCTTTAGAATAAGCTGCACTCTGATGTTTCTGAGTAATAATGTAGTTTCTAATATAACTGTTTTTTTTCTGTTAATTATAGACCGCACTCAGTTCCGGTGGTTTTATTAGGGAGGAAGAGATATTTGAAAGTGTCTCCTTTATTGTTGACAGGATGCATGGGATGGCTGCAAACTATGAACCAGATTTAAGGGATCGTCTTCAGAACTTTGTCCTGCAGCAAACCTGCAGGTAAATCTCTGACAGCAAGCAGCACGTGAAGCTGTGGAAAGACGTCTCCGATTCTCAGACCGATCAGCACTGGATCCGATCCCCTCGAGGCTGCGTCGCTTCCCCTCCACGGCAGAACCTCCAGTCACCAGTCCGTCAAGTCTCTGGTTGAGCCCGCCTGGAGGTGGGGGATTGACCCCCTGGTGCGGGACCCCCCACTGGCACTGACTCATAGCCAGATTAGCACAACTTTAACGGTTTACAACTACTATCGGTTACGACTTACTCTGATCCAGAGTCTGTAGTGTGTTTACACTGACGATGTGAAATGTAAAAAGTGAGTAGCCTATGCATCAAAAAAAATAAAGGGAATGAAAAGTAGAGCTACTATCTTTATTAGTATAGTAGTCGCATTGCTTGCTATTGCCGATACCATTGCTTTCATTATCATTATTATTCTACTATATCACTTCTGCTGTTATTACTAGTAATCGTAATGTTTCCATCATTAATATACTTACTCCTCTCATTATATGAATACTTGTCATATGCATTGAATGTGTTGTAACTCTGTTATGTTCATTCTGTACACATGACATCAATCACACTTCTGTCCATCCTGATAGAGGATCCTCCTCTGTTGCTCTCCCTCAGGTCTCTTCCTCTTTTCTCCCCGTTAAAGGGTTTTTTGGGGGAGTTCTTCCTGTTCTGATGTGAGGGTCCTGGACAGAGGATGTCGCATGTGTACAGATTGTAAAGCCCTCTGAGGCTAATTTGTGATTTTGGGCTTTAAAAAATAAATTGAATGGAATTGAATTGAAAATAGAGACAGACCAAAATCACGCACGGCGCCCCCACGTTCATGTAACACATCAGTTGCCCTTATGGAATGTTAATGGGATGTGATATGGGATGGACATGATGAAATATTTGGGAATAGTGTCCTTTAAATAAAATGTGGCAATAGCAAATAAAAAAGAATGTGGGTTGATTATTTTTCATTCATCCCTCACACACACACACACAGTTTGCCAGCTGCTCTTTTGACTGTATGAAAACTAAATAAACTGTAAAATCTAACAAAGTGCAAGAAAACATTTTTCTTCACCATATCAGGAGCAGAACTCGTATATTTAGGAGATTGTTTGAATAAAAACATGATTTTCAGAATGTAGCTGCTGTATTTTTAATTGTGTGTCAGCAAGTTCTAAAAAGAACAGAACAGCACGTTGTCATACGGGGTAAAGTTCTAGAAATAGGTCCATGTTGGAGTCATTTCTCCATTAGCACTGAGAGAGAGACGCACATTTAAGACGAGCATCATTTGCAGAAAGACAATCACACGTTCTGAATCTGAAAAGATTCAAGCTTGAAGGTTCATTCTCAACCTTGGAAACACTAAACTGAGAAGATTTTACTTTTTTAAAATGTCATCGTGGAGCTCAGATGCCTTTGGTGTGTCAGGTAAGACCGACTCACCACGCTCACAATACATTTGACATGATGCTGAATGTATCTGCTTTGAAATCACACTGTGGACACTCATTTCTTCCCAACCAACAAGTCTAAAACGAGTCCTTCAATATATTACAAGACAGAGCCGCTCTGGTTTACATGCTGTGCAGTCTGTGCAAGGGGGATCATTCTTACTCTTGAGAATAAACCATACCAGTGTTTGTTACTTGAGGCCACTGTTGGTTTTTACAATTACTCTATCTTATCCATCATCCTACCAACACATTTAACATACTAGGACTATTGTGACAAACAACCAGCACAGCCAATCTTAACTTATTTATTCTCAAAGCATTATTTGTCATGTAATTATGTCATCTTTTAGGAAGGTTATAGTTAATTTGCATATTGTGTAAACTAGAGACAAAGCACGAATTGTGTGTAAACATTTGATCCATCTATTCCATCTATCTATTAAAACTACAACTGCTGCAATTTGGTGCCTTTGACTGTGGTCCCCCAGGACCCCAATACATTAGCATTTAAAATTATTATTTAAAAAGCAGTTATTAAAACAGAAATTAAGAAGTCATTAGGAACAAAGTAACTTACAAAGTCATGAGTTTTTAAATGTTTTGAGCGGCCGCAAAGACTAGAAAAGCGTTACATAAATGCAGACATTTATACCTGTTTTCCTAAATAAATAAATTGATTAACATGATCATGAATTAATCAATATTTGATACATTATTCTCCTTCACATGGTCTCAGAATGACAAGAAAACACTGAAATATAAGGGCATAACTCATGGTTAAGATGTGTATTTGATCATGTTGTGTTGACTGAATACACTGCCTCCATGTTCCCGCCCGCAGCACTGACACCTGAGGTTCAGGCGGGTCAAACTCTGTTCGGCAGCTCCTCCGGTTATTCTGTTCTGGAGTTTATTGGTGAAGGCTGCTATGGTAAAGTGGCCAAGTGCCGAAATCTGGCAACAAAAGAGTCAGTGGCTGTTAAGATCCTCAAGCAGGACGTGGATTTCATCCCGGACACTGAGAAAGAGGTAGATTTTTGGACCTCTTCTCGTGACATACAGTATTCCCTTGCTTTCATTTTCTCTGCTCTATCAGAGTATCTACAAGGAACCTCTTTGTTCCCCAGGTGTCCATTTTAGAGGTCATCAGTGTCCTGAATCCAGATCACACTAACGTGGTCAAGTTCTTTGAGCGGTTTGAACATATGGGACAGACCTGTCTGGCATTCGAGATGCTGGACAGGAGTCTCTATGACCTGCTCTACGAACGAGACTGGAAGCCACTCGCTCTGAAGGAGATCCGCATAATCGCAAAGCAGGTATGTATTATTGTTGTATGGAACCAATTGTGTATTCTTCTATATAGGTATTACTCATCAATGATAAAAACCCTAATACAGTAGCAAATGGAAAACCCAATCCTAAACTTGTTTTTTCTCGTTTTGTCCCTGCAGCTATTGGTGGCCTTGGATGCCCTGAAGGGTCTCGGTATCCTGCATACCGATATCAAACCCGACAACATTATGTTTGTTAATATGCAGGACCAGCCCTTTAAGATTAAATTAATAGACTTTGGAGAAGCCATTCCCACCTCTAAAGTCCAGCTCGGGATGGAGCTTCAGCCGACTGGGTTCAGGTGGTTTCATCCTTCATTCTTCTAAGCATCAATGTTGTGCTCTTGGTCCTTACCTCAAGCGTGCTCATCATTGGAACTTGTCTTGCTTCCTCAGAGCTCCAGAAGTTGCCCTCGGCCTCCCCTTCACTGAGGCTATAGATGTGTGGGGAGTCGGCTGCGTCCTGGCATTCCTTTATCTGGCTGACAATCTTTTCCCTGTCAAATGTGATTATCAGATGGTAGGTCAGCTACCTCAGACAAACGTCCAGAACCATGTGGATACTTTGCAGAATGTTAGCTGATGTGATTCTATATATTTTGCCTGCAGATGAAGTGCATGGTTGAGGTTCTGGGTCAGCCGGAGGACCACCTGCTCCGTCCTGGGATATATACGCAGTATTTTTTCATTGAGGAAGAGGCTGCTGATCGTCCAACATGGAGGTTGATGGTAGAGTAACCATGTTCTTCTTTGATTGAGTTGGTGAAATCATTTTATTTTAACTCTTAAAATGATTCTCATATAAATATATATATATACATATTGTTGCTTTAGATGCCTGAAGAATATGAAGCTGCCAACGATGTGAAAGCAGAAGAGTGGCAGAGCTTCATCGACCTTCCCAGCTCTCTGGATGACCGTGTTAATGTAGGTACCCTCAGCTTTGTTTAATGAGTAAAGACTGAATCAGTAGCAGGTATTAACCAGTGTCTGAGAGGTAGGGGCTGGATCAACTGACCTGAACCTGTTTCCAAATACAGATCTATCCAAAAGGGGAGGCTGCTGAATTTGAGGACAGGAAGGCTTTTGTCGACCTCATCAAACAGCTTCTGCATCTTGACGGGGATCAGAGAATCTCTCCCAATCGAGCTCTGCAGAACTCATTCATTACAAAGTCCCACGTGTCTGAGCAGACTGACAGCTGTTTCACTGAATGTTGTTCTTCATCCAGTCTGAACACCTCAGGAACTATGATTAGTGTCTGCCCAATGGAGGCCTCAGCAGACAGGGTGAACATCTCTGCAGCTTCCAAACCTGACCAAGAGTCAGACGCTGGGTTTTATGTCAGAGGTCTACCCTCTGGTTCCAATGACGATGGTTCAGCTATCAGGTCATTTGATGGAGCCAAAGTCATTGTCTTCAATGACAACAGTCCCACCATACCGTCATCTGAAAGGAGATCAAGTCACATACTCAGACGAACATTGGGATGACTGGTCTCCTGATGAAAGACTACCTCCATGCTCCTATTATGAAGATCCAGCTGTCTGGTCTTCTGATGGAGTACTACCTCCCTACTCTTATGAAAAAGATCCAGCTGCTTTATCTTCTGATGAAGGACTACCTCCCTATTCTTATGCTGAAGATCCAGCTTTCTGGTCTTCCGATGAAGGACTACCTCCCTACCCCTTTGCTGAAGATCCAGCCTCCTGGTCTTCTGATGTAGCAAGACCAACAGACTACACTGCTGCAGCCTCAGCCTTCCCTGGTTGCTCTAAAAGAAGGATGAAGAGATTCTTCAGAGATTGCTGTTGGCGTCCCACTGTGGAGGACTAATTCCAAATTCATTATATGCATTTACTTGTTTTTGGTTAGCTAACTTTGTTTGATTAGTTCTACTTTGTCACAATGTAAATAAAATTGATTGATGGATTGCATTGCAATACAATGTATCAAGCTGCTTCATTACAGTACTTGCTACAAAGACAACTGACCAAGAGACTAATTTATAACCGTTGCATACGCAGAAAAATGGGCCTGAAAGAGGCGTATGGCACCCACGCAAACGGTGTGATCTAAAGAACAAACTTGACGGGAGAATGTGTGCACCTGTACGGAAACTCTGACCCATGTACGAATATTTTGGAGACACAGGAAATTAGCGACACACATGGTGAGGTGCTGAAATGAAGCTGGATTTTAGAAATTACATGCGAGAGGCATCATTATACGTATAATGATGCCTCTCACATGTAATTTCACTTCATATCACACGTTACTTTGCACTTATATACTGTCTTTATCACAAACCCCGGAGCACAGAGGCGAGACCGAACTACCGACACTTGTGCTCAGCTGATGATGTTATCATCAGTTGTAAGATAACGTCAAATAGCATCAAAGAAATGCAGAACAGAGCAAGCTTAGTTTGCATTAAGTGTTTGTGAGTAAAAGAGCTGCAGCGAACATGACTTTATTGACAATCTGCACACAACGATGGTGTAAATTAGCAATGTTTTATAAATCTGAATATTTTTTGGCGTAAGTGCCTTTCCTCCTTTCAACGTACGCAAACATTTAGTGTGGATCCTACACACTGTTTTATAAATGAAACCTCTGGCCTTTTGTTTACACAGTGGGTTTAATTCTGTAAACATACAATGTTCCAACCTTCTTTAATATCCAGCATGTATCAAACGTAGCTACTAACTACTAAACTAATAAATGATCAGAATGGTTCTCATCTTTCAGGAGTCTTAGCAAAATGATTAAATTATATTGAAGCTACCTATCACCACATTCTTATTCTATATTTTATTCTGCATATATTCTGTTAATAACTCTGCACTTTACTGCTTTTTGCACTTCTGGTTAAATGCATAACTGCATTTCGTTGTAGTCTCTTATTCAACCCCTGCATTCATTTGTTTGACACTTTTTCACAATTGTTTTGCTGTTGTTGCTGTATATTATCTTCATTTTAGTTGTATTGCATTTAATGCTTTTATTTATATATTGTATGTCTACATGTACATCTTGTTTGTTTTCTCAACTTTTTTTAAGTAGCTGTTGACTTATTGTTAAAAAACCTGGTGGCATATGTTTCTTGCAAAATATATGTGATCTGTATGGTGAAATAATCAGTCAGGAACTTTTACATTTGAACTGATATTGCCACAGACAGATTGTGTTCATCATGTCCGTCTCCATACAATAATATTGGGCTTTCTATTCCGTCCACTTCCACAGACTACTCGCGTTAAGCCAACACTGGCGGCACGGTTTGAATGCAAACCGAGGGCGAAACATCACTCCGAGGCAAAACGGGGCTCATAGAACTTTATATAGTGTTTATATAGTGTAAAACCATCAAACTAAACTCGGCATTTTATACATACATTAGCTGGTTGGCTAAATTACTATTCACTCATTATTCCACCGTGTCCCATTGGCTTAAAGTATGCGGTGTGGGCGGGCGTAATCTTCGTGGCACTGGGGGCGGGACTGATAGGTCCGACAGGCACACTAAAGAAAGGCGAGGATATCCATTAATACGGTAAAACTGCGTCTAAGTAACTACTCACAACAGCTCTCTGCTTCGTTGCTTTACATGTCAGGGTAGGTGTTAGAACCAAGCAATATATAGCGCTCTCAAAATGTGAGTTGTCCACTTTGACAAGAGGCCAGTTGTCCCGGAACACTCAGCAAAGTTAGCAAGCTAATAGTTAGCCTCCTTAGATGGGATGGAAACTGCTGCTAGCTAGACGTTAGCCCATACTCCACATTTTCGGTGAGAAATAAAGGCCAAATAAGCATATTAATGTAGATTAAGGTTACATTGGATTGCAAGTTAACTGTAACGTGACGCAATTCACCAGAGGCTGAGTTGACAGATACAATAGCCCTTTACATTAAGAGGTGAATAGCAGTGAGGAAGTGAAGTTATAACGCAACGAAAACTTGCCAAATTCTACAGATACGTCAGACGGCTGAACGCTTTGCTCGGACGGTCCCCTGTGTTCCCCTCTCTGAAGCGGGTTAATAGTTCATACAGGTGGCTGTAGGTTATATGTCATCGAACAAACTATAGTTGGTTTAACTGAATTGTATTCAGGCACAATGGTGAAGCTTCAGTGAAGGCTTATATTCCACATTTACCTGATTTGGATTAAAAATAGTGACAACAGCGTAGTTTCAGTAGGCAGTTCAATTAAGAGGTTAACGCATGTCAGCATCAAATCACCAAGATATGTTGATTTAGGTCAATTTTGATAAACAGAGTAAGATTGTTTTGTTTGTTGTCATGCTATACTCTGGTTTATTGTCACAGTTTGTTCAGTGAAGTGACTATTGGTAACAACAACCCAAACTAAACAACTACTGGCTCAAGCATGGACAGCACTGATGTAGTGTTTTGTTGCCATGCTGAAAGACATGACTCTAAGGAAGGTCAAGTCTGTCAGGCCTATACTGTTTGTGCCAGAATAATAGAAGAAACAGTTTGGTCAAGGGGGAAATGTCGGATAGGTATTCCATTAAATATATGCCAGATATTACATTTTCTAACAGGATGAATGCTGTGGACTTTCCCAGACTTTTCATGAAGAGCCACAAGTAGGTCACATTTATCTCTTGTCTAAAGTGCAACACGGATCAGCTGTGTCTCAGAAGGTCAAGTGACTGCATCGAATGTGAGAAGACTGCAGTTTTTTTGGGAGTGGACGCAGGTCGACACTGGACTATAGGAAAGTGGTGTGTTTATGCGCATGAACCGGCAGTGACACACATCCAGGTGATGTCAGTGTGGGCTTGCATCGAAAACAATGCAGCGCTGATGTCATATTACCACTAAGAACTGTTGTCAACTTGAGCTTTACTGTGAGATGTGGGCTTTGTTCAGACCCACAACAGTACTGTGTGTGAAAGTGAAGCCCCCTCACTCATGTCAATGAGGAGGTCTCTAGCTAAGACTCTAACCTGGCTCCGTTTCTGGCTGCACCATCACCCAGCAAAGCATTGGTTTGCCAATGAAGTACATGCAAGCGAACATTCTCGGTAGATTACTTTTGTAACGTGAACCTTGTAAAAATTCTACAGTTCATCTTGCGATCGCCACAAAAGGAGGAAGATAGACGGATTGTCACCATGATATCTTTCTAGAGTTATTCAATATTATAAGCTGCCGTGCAATGTTCTGGTGTCTTATGAACCTACAAAGTCATGGATCCGTAGTTCAAACATGTTGATGCAGGGCTGGGTTTTTCTGAATGTGTGAGAAGAATTACTTAGAAAATAAATTGTGATGAAACATTGCAGCTGAACTCGATAAGATTTGAGGATCAGGAATGGAGGAGGGATTTAATTAAGCCGTGCTAAAACATAGATTATGATCAACTTGAACGGTCGGTTGAGCAAAGAACATGCTCCATTCATTGCAGACCGGTGCACAAATATTTTCACACTTTACGCACCCCAGCACTTCCTGTTGAGCCTCTTCACATTCCATGGCTCAACAGTTTTGTTTCCCCCATGACCAAACTGTTCATACAATACAAGTTTTTATAAAAGTTACTGTCTTTTGTTTGTTTTCATCTCAGACTTCTCCAAACTCTCCCGTATGCTGGTTAATGTCTTTACTCTTCTTCTCTCAGATGGCTGCGATCAGAAAGAAGCTCGTGATAGTCGGTGACGGCGCCTGCGGCAAAACCTGTCTCCTCATCGTGTTCAGCAAAGATCAGTTCCCCGAGGTTTATGTGCCCACAGTGTTTGAAAACTATGTGGCAGATATTGAGGTGGACGGTAAACAGGTAAGCTGTTTATTATACTGACAAATTATGTAACTTTCTTTCTTACAAATCTTTTCTGATCATTCACAAACTTGAATTGAGTTTTTTTTCTCCCACGTTTACAAAGAACTTTTGAGTTTCCCTGTACATGTTTGCATAATATATAGAGAGCCATGCCTCTTGCTGCAAATCAGGAGTGTCTGTCGTGACTTGCTCCTTTTCAAGATGTCAAAATCTACGTAGTGAGTGAAGTTAGAAACTGCTCTACAGACGCGTCCTATTATCCCGTGTTGCTGCAGGTGGAGCTGGCTCTTTGGGACACAGCGGGTCAGGAGGACTACGACCGCCTGAGGCCTCTCTCCTACCCAGACACAGATGTCATCCTCATGTGTTTCTCCATCGACAGCCCTGACAGTTTGGGTGAGGCTTCTTCTTTGTCGTCGGTTGTTTTTCTTAAACATTCTGTTGGCATCCCGGTCCATGTTCAACATGTCCACCTTGTGCCTGATGCAGAGAATATTCCAGAGAAGTGGACTCCCGAGGTCAAGCACTTCTGCCCCAACGTGCCCATTATTCTCGTGGGAAACAAGAAAGACCTGCGAAATGACGAGCACACGCGGCGGGAGCTGGCTAAGATGAAACAGGTCAGTGAGGTCGCTTCTTCACTTAAGCTGCTATGGGTTTCAAGCTCGCCGACTTAACACAAAACTCACACTCGCCACAGTCTGTAAAACGTCCCGTTACGTACGACGCATGGCTTTGAGCGGCTTCAGATCCCCACCAGAAAAGGCTGAAAATATTCTAAATATAGCATACACTTAAGGAACACCCCCAAAATGTCCATTTGTTTATCGATTACTCCCAGCTGTTTACCTTGAATTCTTGACAGGTGCATAAAACGAGATTGGGAGCGTTTTGATTGGCTCTCAACATGGCGACGCCTGAGCCGGTGGCTTGGCGCTAACAACGCTAACAGTATAAACAATGACAAACGTGCCGACAGGGCTAACGGTGTGTACCTGAGGGGGGAACAGGAGGGTGGGCGCTATGCTTCTGTGACGACGCAGCCATCAGCTGTAACATCATACGAGTATCAGTGCAGAGTGGCAGCTCACATGCACTTAAACATGCACAGAGAAGCTTGGAAAAAACAGCACACACAGAGGGAGAACAATGCTCTGCTCAGGTAGACATTACTCCACGATATCTTCACATAGAACGTAGTTGTTCGCCGCTATATTCATGCTCTGAATGACGTTTATTGCTCCCTCCAAGAAAACCTTTTTTCTCGCATGCCTACACAAAGCAAAAAACAGATGCAGTGCATCCGGGAAGTATTCACAGCGCTTCACTTTGTCTACATTTTGTTATGTTACAGCCTTATTCCAAAATGGATTAAATTCATTTTTTTCTTCAAAGTTCTACACACAATACCCCATAATAATAATAAAGTGAAAAACATTTCTTTTAAAATTTAGTTTCTCATGGTCTGAGAGTCCTTCAGGTGCCTTTTGGCAAACTCCAGGCGGGCTGTCATGTGCCTTTGACTGAGTGGCTTCCGTCTGACCGCTCAACCATACAGGCCTGATTGGTGGAGTGCTGCAGAGATGGTTGTGCAATGCTGGAGCTCTGTCAGAGTGACCATCGGGTTCTTGGTCACCTCCCTGACTATCGCTCAGTTTGGCCAGGTGGCCAACTCTAGGAAGAGTCCTGGTGGTTCCAAACTTCTTCCATTCACGGATGATGGAGGCCACTGTGCTCATTGGGACCTTCAATGCTGCAGACATTTTTCTGTACCCTTCCCCAGATCTGTGCCTCGATACAATCCTGTCTCAGAGGTCTACAGACAGTTCCTTGGACTTCATGGCTTGGTTTGTGCTCTGACATGCACTGTCAACTGTGGGACCATATATAGACAGCTGTGTGCCTTTCCAAATCATGTCCAATCAACTGAATTCACCACAGATGGACTCCAATCAAGTTGTAGAAACATCTCAAGGATGATCAGTGGAAACAGGATGCACCTGAGCTCAATTTTGAGTGTCATGGCAAAGGCTGTGAATACATGTGATTTTTTTCGTTTTATATTTCTAATAGATACCTTCCGGATGCACTGTAAGTGTTTAACAATAGCAAAACTATATCAAAACATCCATTTCAAAACTGTCACAGCGAGAGAAAGCGAAAGGTAACGGGAAGGTTTTCATTTCTTTGTAAGTTCCTTTCTATGTCTTTAGACACTTATAAGACCGATCTATATTACTTTATGAATGATTTCTACAAGTGGATGATACCCCTTCATGATTTTGGTTTATCCAAACAGGAGCCAGTGAAGTCAGACGAGGCGAGGGACATGGCTAACCGGATCAATGCCTTTGGTTACCTGGAGTGCTCGGCCAAGACGAAGGACGGCGTGCGGGAGGTGTTCGAGATGGCCACCAGGGCAGCGCTGCAGGCCAAGAGGCGAGGCAAGAAGGGCGGCTGCCTCCTGCTATAGAGTGTCGGTCACACAGGATCGGGAGGGGAGGGAGACACAAACCAGGCCAAAAAAAATAAATCAACATCCCTCCTCCGTGTCTGCTTCGACACCAAGGTGGGCACAATTGAACGGGGTGTTATGAGGAGAAGAGTCAACCCGGGCTTAAGGGGAAAGAAGGAAGGTCGAATGCAATGGGAAAGGGAGTATATACATTTATGTACAAGGTTATAGCTTTTAGCTTTCAGATGAAAATACTGTCATCTTGTGTTTAGGATTCTTTAGACATGACATTATTAGGAGAATGCGAAGAGAAGCGAATATTGCTCTCACTCGTACTTTTTAAAGGAGTGGGAGGGTGTGAAGGGTTTCTGTTCTGAACCATAGCGCTGTGGTTTGAGGGTTGAGACCAGTTCACCCCAGATGCATGCCTGCCTAACTAACTGTGGGGGGACTTCCAGGGCCTGCAGCGGGACCGTGCTGGTCTTTCCTTCTCCTTCATTCCCGTGGGGAAACATAACCCAACTTTCCGTTTTATCAACCTGTAGTCTTTCATATAGAATTCCATTCATTTAAAGAGCTGATTTTAATTGTTGGCGTCTGAGCGTAATGAGACCAACTTGTTTGAGTGTTTTGTACAAGCTTGTTAATGAATGTAACACTTAACAAATGGAGATTAAGTTAACCTCTACTTTCAATCAGAAAACTGTGATTGAATTGGCGTGGACGGTCAGACGCACTGTATACAGTTGGGTATTAAAGGGTTAAAAAGTGGTTTGATCCTCCTAACAGTAACTGCTAACTTTAGGAGGAAGCCTCCTTGATTTCTGATTTGCTCCCGTTTTAATTGACTTTTAATGCAAACTCAACACCTTGGCCATGTTTCCCCATTGTCTTCATATCATTTCTACTGCACCATTTCCCTTTCACTACACTTAGCTTCATGCCGGAGTTTCTCTTTCTAACACAAATGCTGTTTCCACTTACTAATTAGTCACTTTGCTGTTCTTTTCCCCTTAGTGTTGTTTAGCCACCATCAATGAAACGCTACACTTTATGTACAGATTTTACTTTGAAATCCTTCCATCAGGTCATAGGATGTCCTCTAGTTACCGGTATGCTTTTAATTTGAAACATTTACAGGAAGTGGAGTTTCAGAGGCAGTAACTTAACAGCAATAACAAAAACTGCAACATGGAAGCAACTGTTTTTCTGTTATGATTATGACGTGACTGATACATTATACTGAATTTAAGCATGCGAGACATGATAGTACAGTAACTCCACCCTCAGTGTTTTAACCCAGCCCTTATTTGTTGTCCAGCTGTTGTTGGACACTCCCATTATTTAAATACCAGCTTTTATTTTGAAAGTTCTGGTGTCGCTCAATGCCAGGCTGTTATCAGAAGTGTGTTTCGTTTCCACTCTGCCTGTTCACTCGTGATGTCTACAACTATTCTTTTATTTCTGCCTCTTTTTCTGTTGTATGTTATTTGAACTACGTGATATTCTACTGCCTTATGTTGTATTGTTTGCACACAGCTTAAAACTAAAATGTCAGTGTGGTATACACACTTTGAAAAAATTATGAAATACAAAATGCAAGCAACTCCTAAAGGATTGGTTATTTGAAAGAGGACTATTGTTTTGTATCCTCACATTTCACCAGTCATCTTTTTTTAATGTATTCTAAAGGAAATAAATTGTAACTGAGAATGACCAGATACCACATGCTTTGTCTTTATTTCAGTTATTGTCATGAATCACGCTTTTGTCCGGCCCTCACAGGTGGATTGGTCTTCACAAAGGTTCAAACCAACTCTTCTCTAGAATCCTAGTAAAGATCCTAAACCTCCCAGGTTGGATTTTGTGGAAAGACCTTTAATAAATTGAAACAATGTGCACATTTAATGATTTGTGAAAAAGTGAGATTTTTACATCTTCAATTCATCGTCTCTCTAATAAGTGTTGTACTATTGTAATTATTAAGTTAACAGTTTAAATTAAAGCTAGGGTAGGTTTTTTGTAATATATTTGTTATCTTCTTTACAGCATTCAATGCATCAGATGCTACCTATCTGCATTGACATTACCAGCTGTGAGTACTAACAATAACATGTCCTGTTAATGAAGATAAATTGACGTGTTTTCTTGCACATCATGGAGACATGAGGTGGTTTGATACGGTCAGCGCTGAACGACAGTCCTCTCTACAGCTCTCTCTTGTGACCTCGTCCTCCTCGTTTTGGGTGGGAGGCATAAAGGGAGGGGCAGGGACTTTTTCTGTTGGATACTTAAAAAATGTTGTCTACTCGTGCCGGTTTCTCCAAAGTTGCCTGCCCCTGAGTTCGAGCCCCTGTTAGCGGGGTTAAATATAAAGACACTGGGCTCAGTCCTCAGCTGCTCTATAATGTCTGATGGAGTCCTGCCACAAATTCCTGATAGCATGGCTCTGAAATGAAAAGTATACAGTCAACACAAGACGTATTGAAAAAAAGTTGTCAAATGATTTCTATTAATCTCAACAGTGGAGATTTTGTAAGATAGCCACAAACCTGTGTCTGGTTCAATAAACGAGTGTCTGATGAGGAAGTCCAACACCACCATGGCACAGTTGGGTTTGAAGTCATCAGTGGCCAGCAGTTCCTTCACCTGGAACCAGGACAGGAGACAGAATTCAACATGTATTTGAGTGGCATTAAGTCTTGGAGCTTTCAATGTCAACCCACAGATTACGTCAGCGACACCAACCTTATCTATGGGCAGTAGGTAGAACTCTTGGACCTCTCCATCGCCTGCTCGGGGCTTGAACTCCGGAGGAACTTCCAAATCGAAGACAAACTGACTTTCTGCAAACACCCCGTCCTCATCCTTGTAGGTGTAGCTAGACAATACGTTCAAGTGGTTAGTTATGGAACGCATTAAGCTACGTGCTAGAGAGAGCGCTCGTCACAGGCTCATGCTCCCTTCAACAATGCTCATTGAATATGTAGGCCGATATAAAACAGGAAGGCCATAGCATCAGACCAGTTCATAAGAAATGAACGTGAACTCGTTTCTTTTTTAAGACGGTGAACTTCATTCTAATTTCTAAACATTAGCTAGTTCATTTCAGTCGGTGTGATCTGAACTTTGAGCTAGCGCTTGTGAAGTGTGAACTTGCACAACGCTTCTACTTTGTTTCATAACATAGAACAGAAGGACGCGGTCCAGTCTAACCTCTGGTGCATCCTAGTAGACCACCAATCCCAGAACCCCCTTTTTTATTGTGTGGTGTTAATGTAAACACACAAAAGTTTAAGTCACATGTAGCGCTTCTCACCAAAGTGCATTCTGTATCCTTGAGGTCTGTTTAATGAACTTCTTTTCTTACAAAACATTTCCAAAAAACATTTTCTTTAAATAATTTGAAAGCTGTTGATACGGATTTTCTTTCCAGTACCGATTCCGTTACATGAATTTGCGTACAGAGTACCGATCAGATATCAGTGCGTTGATAACAAAAAAGATGACGTTAAACTTGACCTACGGCCAGAGCTCATTTTACTGAATAGAGCTTGAACGCATCATAATGTTACTCAATGCGAGCTCCGTTATTTAGCCAGGACAGGACTGTGCTGCCCACCGGCTGCTAACAGCTAACGTTAACTAGCTCTCCCCCTGCCGATTTCCACACAGATTTGTTGTTCACAGTGTAGCGTTAGCAATGAACCAATAGGGTGCACCAGAGTGTTTAACCACAGGTGTGTAGGTGTGTTCACACATGTGAAGCTGGATCAGGGTAGCAAGTGACAAGTGTTGCTGTTCCTGTGTAGCGTAAATCAATGATACGAAAACGTGATATCGGATCGGTAGTATTGGAGGCATTACCACTGCTGACTACGGACTGAAGGAGTCATTAAAGGGACCTCTCATAACATTGAATAAACTTTACTGTCTTGACAAAAGTTCCAAAGTGCACTGAGGTGGATTTAGTTAAGAGTGTATTTTTGATTGTATCGCCATCTTTATTACATTTGCAAGCATAAGTCTGGTGTCACTATGTTTTTCTGATTCTCAACAAATCCCATGTGCAGGCCCAAACCAACAACTGGTAGTCTGGCTCTCAATACTTTATGACTTCCTGTCTGTGACACTCAGTTCCAAGCCCATTAAAAGAAAAAGTTGAGTAATTTCCTGAATCAGCTGGTTACCGTAGTTTTTAATCAAACCTTACGCAAACAGGAGGAAATAGGGCAATTGATGGGAACTACTTTCAGCGGCAGATGAATCCACAGTGTGTGTGTTCACTGTAATGAAGGAACATGGTAAATGTACTTGTATAGCGCTTTTATAGTCCTTCATTCACTGATGGCAGAGGCTACCATGCAAGGTGCCACATGCCCATCAGGACTCGAACTAACCATTCACGCCCAAGGACACAAGGACACAGCAACATGGGGATCGAACTGCCGATCCTGTGATTGACGGACGAACCGCTCTATCACTGAGCCCCTGACATGTCCCCGGGTGCAACAGCATGTCCCATAATTAATAGCTGTTGGACAACAATGGAGCTCTACGGCACAGAGGGAGAAGATACATCTACTTATTAGTAGATTCGATCATTGTCGGAATGAGTCTGTTAGTCAGACTTGAGAACAAGTCACCGGAGTTACCCTTTAACTGCGAGACGCTCACCTTACGTTGGTCACAGGGCGAGCCTTCTCTGCAATGGCTGCTGGGATACACGCTTCCTCCTCACATTCTTTGACCAGAGTGTTTTTGACGCCAACACCAGCAGCAAGACCACCTGCTGCCTTCGAAAGACACAACACATCACCCTTCTAGATTCTTTTCTGAAATCTGAAATATTGAGTTGAATATTGAATTATAATTCCCACTCCTATCCCTGATTGCTGGCATGTACCGTCAGTCAGTCACAGCGTGCGCTCACCACATTGTCCAGTAGTCCGGGGTACGTCTGCTTAGTGAGGGAGCGTCGTGCCAGCCACATGTTGACTTCCCCACTGTCACTGACAGTGTAGCCGTTGACGTGGACTCCATACCGCTTCACTCCAAAGAGACCTGTGGTTGAGCGTCACAGTGAGCTCACACTCTAATGCTGATGACAACAGACGGAGCTGCCACAGCGTGTGCCGTGACTTACTTGTAGCTGCTCTTTCCATCCACATTAAAGGAGGGTCGGAGAATTTTGGCATCACACTGTACTTCTGAAAGATAAGGAATGCTTCAGGATTACTGCGATACCAATGATTACATTTGTATTATTATTTAGAATGAGGTATGAGGATGTGGTTTTTACAGTCCCAGGTTTAATTCCAGTGTATGAGATGATATAAACTGTCATCAGGTCAGCAGTAAAGTACAAGCAATTGCATTGTAAATGTCATATCTCATGGAAATTCAGCCATTGTTTACCAAAATCACATGTACAGATTTAACAATCTGATGTGAGGTTTGTGTTTTTTTTTTTATATATTTATATTTTAAAGTCCCCTTTCATAGAAAATACACTTCACAGTTTAGCATAATCAAATGACATTTTAAATAAGGCCTAAAAAACGTTAGTGACATTATAGCATACATACAATGTAAAGGAAAAGGCATCTGCTCTCTGTCAGTACATTTAGTGTTAGTTCTGCAATACAATGTTGGCCTTTGACACAATCCATCACAACTTACTTTTTCTGTCTCTCAAAGCATTTGGCTTTTGGTAATAACTTTGTTTACATTGTAAGCATGTTTTACAAAGATATTTAAAGCTTGGTTCTCATTCATTTTAAATTAATACAGGGGTCAGGCAGAGTTGCCCTATTTCTCCTTTTTTGTTTACTTTAGTCGCCAAATTATATAATAAAAATAAATAATATAATTGTTATTACAATAATGCCAATATTATAAATATTTTAAGGAATAAAACGATTTAAGACAGGGAGTTAAATTTGTATGCTGTTTGTGTGTGTTTGTACTGTACCATCAACATGTTCTTTACATGCTGCTACTGTTTACTACCTATTCTTCCGTGGCACAGCGTCACGTGGATTTTAGTGTGAGCGCTCCACAGTGCCTCACCTCGTCTCTCCACCCTTTAAGACACGTTAGGGAGCTCTCCTGTCTCAGGGTTTGAAGGACCGCGTCCACAGCCTCGGACCTCTTCTCGTACGAGTCCAAGCTGCGACACAGTGACACAGCGCCCCCGTGCGGCGGACTGAACACTTCTGGGTACCGTGTCAACAGTGAAGCTACATGTGGAGGAATCCAGCCCACTTGTGCTTCGTTTATCTCAAACCTCCAGCACTTAGAACGACAGGAGCCTGCGGGAACAAGGCGGAGGTTGATACTTTATAAGCCACCCTTCACACCGTCGACTGCGTGCTATTTTAACTCAGTGTCACTCGTAACTTACCGGGTAAATAGAAGTTATTCATTCGGCGGAGGAGCTGGAGTATGTTTTCGGACCAGGCAGAGTTAGCCATTTTATAGAATGTTAACTAACCACCTCTCAGGCCCCGATAGAGTAAACGTGGATAAACTAGGTGGACGAGACGACTGCTAATCACACACCAATGCTAATCAAGCTATTATTTTGAACGCCATGTTTTTTCTCAAAGCGCTCTGCGCATGTCTGCTTCTTCTTCGTGAGTTTTTACATGGACTTGAGGCATCTGTTTATCTCGCCTTAAATTGAACTAGTATCGATTAGGCCCATCAATAAACTGTATTTAAACTATTGTCTGTTAACCATCTAGTGTTCTAATACAACATCTTACATATAGGACATGCATTATTATTTCAGATATTGATTAAGCAGCATGTATATGCAGGCAATACAAAGGTTCATTGACAGAAAATGGATGTAATCACTTCAATAAATCATGTAAAAAACATTTAAAAAATCCTACTTTAAACCACATTTGTGTACTTATCAAAACAAATCAGATATCTGTATTAAAGGTGCAGTCAACCGTCTTCATCTTCCTCTACACGTCCACAGTGCCATACCATTCAATTAGACATGTAAAGAAATAAATAATACTTTCAATTCAACCTCCGTAATGTTTTGCATGCAGATAATAAAGAGAAAACAGATTTTCCCTGTAAGAAGCACATGGTTTGATTGGGGATAAGTAGCATAGACATCATAATAAAATAAATCCAACTTGGAATTGAAAATGTAATGGTGATAAACATAAGACACAGACAAATTGAAATGTGACAAACTCGTTATTTCTCTAAAAAAAGAAAACCTATTTATAGCTCTAATTCGACCAAGGCTAGATTAAGGCAGTGTAGTTTATAGCACAATTATTGTTTTTTCTATCTATTATTCTATCTATTTTATTATTTTTAACTAATACTGTTATTCACTCATTCTCTCTTTCATAATCGTAACTGTGCTCTGCCAAATGTCTTGCCAATAAAGCTTATTGCATTGAAATTGAATTAGATTTACTTTAGGTAAGAAAACAAGGCACTGAACACGCACACTGTAGGAGTTAACCGGCTCCAGAAGATGGCGGTAGCGCAAAACTACTGACGCTAGCTGCCGTTAAACTGCAGACAAGTAGAAGAAGAAGAAGAAAAAGGCTGTTACGATCTGCTTAAAATAAACACAAAGAAGAAGGAATAATATGGAGTAGTTTTGAGAGGATGCAATTTAATGAATTGCAAGAGTAGTCCCCAAACATCGTAAAGAACTGCGCGGCAGTGTGGTGTTAGAAATATGAAGGAAACAACTGCTATGACTCTATTCACTGCATTCTCCTTTTAGCTAACACTGAGCTAACGTTAGCTAGCAGCCACCCGGTGGGGGCTAACCGTCACATCCCCTCATATTTTCACCGTAAGACGAGGCGACATTCATCAACTAACGACTGTTTTTTTATTAAGACCAAAAGGTAAGATGTATTTAATATCCCAAATGCGTATGCGGTCCTGTTGGGTCTCAGCTAAATATGAGTGCACAACATATAGCATTCAATTACAAGTTTAGTTTGGTTTTAATCTAACGGTAACCTTCGTGATACTGTCATTGTTAATTGCACACTGCACTGTTCGAGTTAGCTAAACAGGGATGTAGCTTAGTTTACTCTATTATCTAGTATTAACGCACGTAACGTTAGTTATATCGGCTATGGTGGAAGTTTAAAAACCATGCCATTACCAAAAGTTCTTATTAGTTAGAGACAGCATCTGCATGACACGCCGTTGCTCACTGTATCTGTAGTGTAACGTGACAGTCAGGACGTCTCCACCGATCACAGCCAGGCTCATATCAGAGAGAGCCACCGGATGCGGAACGAGTGACCCATAAGTCCCTTCAAGTCTTTGACCGTTTTCACCGTCGTCAGTTGTATTATTCAAGTCTGAAGAGTACACCAAAATATACTTCAAAATCACTGAACCTAACATTTTGTTAGGAGACAAATATTGTTCACACGTAGGACATGAATCTTTCCCCTGAAGAATAAACAATCTTAAATAAGATATAAATGATAAGGTGCCTTGTACTCTTTAACTTTGTTTTAAAGGCTCTATTTTTCCCTTCTCGACAGTGAGCTAAACAGCTCTTTTAATGATTTTTTGATAATGGAAATCTACCACAATTGACTTATTGTGAGTGATTTATCACATGGACCCATCTCTACGCTGTATTTCATATGTTGAACATTGATGCCCACTGCTTTCCACAGTGCATTTAAGTTGTAGCCAGTTTTGGATTTAATATTACAAGATAAATACTTTTTTTGTTGTTGTAATTACTAAACTTTTCTCAATACTATAAAAACAATATTATTAATACCTCATGTTTTCTCCCTCTCTCTCTCTCTCTCTCTCTCTGCTGTCTTACTCTGTGTGTGAAGCTCCCCCTGTCCTCATGGCCTCGTCAGAGGTCAGCATGCAAGACGTGAGCGAGGTCGTGATCGTCACCATACCGGAGACGGTGGGAGAGGACCTCCCCTCTGTGGTGGAGGAGGACAAGGTGGTGCTGGTGACTGCAAAGCTGACCCCTCAGCTAGGGTAACATACCTCACACATGCTGCTTAGTGGTCATCGGCGCGCACACACACACAGCGGAATGTCAGTCGTTGAGGAGCTTGTCCTGTTGTCCAGTTCGCTATATTGAAACTCATAAACGCCGTGTGGGTTTTCCAGGGAGGACGTCCTCACGGTGGCACAGGTGGAGTCAGAAGCTGATTCACTGTCGAGGGAAGAGGCAGTCATCGGTAACGTGGCCCGCAAGGCTGTGTTAACATATGCAGTCTTCCCAGTGATCCAAAGCACAGAATAATGTCCATCTTCAGTTTGCATGATCAGACGACACAATTGATCATGTTTTTGGTCTCCGTCTCTGCAGTGAAGCTAACCGAGGAGGTGGACGTGGAGGCCGACGTCTTCTACCCGATCACCTGCGGCGATGCCAAAGCCACACTGGTGTGGAAGAAGTTTGTCTGCCCCGGGATCAACGTGAAATGCGTCCAGGTACGCGCCGTCGCCTCGGAACAACAGAGCCTGCAATGCAAAATAACAAAAGCTCATTTGTGAACCCGTTTAAGGAAATCATCAACGGCTCATGGTAGTTGTTTTTTTCTTTTCTCGCCTCTCTGATCAGTTCAATGAGCAGCTCATCAGCCCAAAGGAGTTTGTGTGCTTAGCGGGGAAATCCACCCTGAAGGACTGGAAGAGAGCTATCCGTCTCAACGGCACCATGCTCAGGTCTGGACTCATCACATGCACTAACAGGGAGTTCTACTTGGTCCGGGGATATGGGCCACAAAGCTCAAAGGCTCCGTTTTTCCTCAACAAAGGCGACATTTAGTGAGTTGCATGTTTCGTGGAAACATGTCAGGGTGAATCCAGTTTATTACCGGATCATGATGCTGATGACCAGGATCATTCTGCAGAAATATTGCAGGAATTTGGTCAAATCCAGGCTTTCATAAATAATGCAGTCGGGTTGAATCACGGTGTGATTTTGAAGATTTAAGTAATGCATTGATAACTAACCAGTCAGAATGAGTACCTTCACTTCTGAAACCTAAGTGCATTTTGCTGCTAATACTTCCATTATTTGATTCTATATTTATAACATATTTATTATTTTATTTTATTTTGGATTTCAGGGCAGAGACAAACAAATATTGTAAGAGTTTGTACAGATCACCTCTTATATTTGAGTAGATCCATATTTCCATAAAGAACTTGGTTCCATCTCCTCCTTCCGGGTGTTGGTGATGGTTCTGTTACTAAACACAGCGAGTCTGTCCTCATGTTGTGCATCGTGCCCATTAAAAGCCTTTCATCGTATTTCCGTTCACAGGAAGATCATGGACTCGAGTGAGCTGGACTTCTACCAGCACACAAAGGTCTGCTCCAACACGTGCCGCAGCACTAAGATCGACCTGGTGGGAACCAAAGTGTCCATCGGCGGAGATCAGCCTGCGGAGCTGCTTCCTGCCACGCCCTCATCGGCCGATTGTGAGTTCCACATTAACACGCACCAACACGTGTCTGTTTCTACATGTTTTCCTCACACACAGACATGTTTCTCCTGTAGTGATGATGATGATGATGACGATGACACATTACAGCTGATTTTCACACCCTGATCTGAGCTCTGTAGCAATACAACAGGACCCTACCAGACCTAACTAGACTGAATATCAATATCTAACCCAATGTAATGACGGGATGACGTCGGCACACCTACCTCACGTTACATTGATCACATGATCAGCACTCATCCAATCATTTCAAATTAAGAGCGCTGTTATTGAAGATAACAGAAGGTACAAAGGTAAATCCGGTTGCAGAATTCCTGGATGACTGCCAGTGGCAGTAAACAAGGTGGATCTGCCTCCAGGTCCAGGTTTCATATCGGTCACATACATGACATGTAGACGACACCCGGCCGCTCAGAATCTTCTCACCCTTAAAGGTTCTGAGTGAGCAGCTATTCACAGAACCAGAGTTGCCTCCCTGACCACCAGCGGCTGTGAACAAAGTGGATGAGCCTGATTACACTCAGCGTTTGAGGAACAGAGCCAGGGGCTTCAACAGTGGCAACACTAGTGAAATGTGATCGTAATGCAGCGTGACCCAGAATGAGTCCAGCAGCAGGCTTAGACACACTGTGTGTCTCAGTGTGGGGGCGCTGTTCAGTGAGCATTGTTCTGCTGCTTGTGTTGCAGTGAATGGAGCAGTCGTCTCGTTTCCAGACGTGGCGGAGGAAACATCAGAGTGGGTCACAGCCATCGGAGGTGATCAGCAACCTGCAGACACACTCACCATCATGTGCAATGGACTAGTCCAGTGGACCGTTTTCTTAATTGTGTGTGTGTGTGTGTGTGTGTCCGTGTCCGTGTCCAGAGGACTCTGTGGCATTCTGGCGCACGGTGAAGGAAGCTGGACTGCTGGAGGAGGTGGTGGAGGACTTCCAGAAGGAGCTGCAGGAGGTGCTGAAGGGGTTGCAGGAGAGAGTGTGTGACCCACCACTTCAGGTCAAAGGTTGGAACCACACACACACAGAAGCAGGGCTTTTGGAAACATTCCAACTGAAATCCACCCTGCGCTTGTTTTTCTCTGGAACTGCAGTGGAAATGATCACCATGACAGAAGGCGGTCTGCCTCCACACTTGACGGTGTGTTGGAGTTGTGCTGGTCACAAACTACAGTTAGAGTCTGTCGCCTGCATCTCTTCACCCAACAGCTCGCTGCTCTCTGTTTGCACCGTTCCTCCCTGCAGTATTTCAGACAGACCTGCTCATGTCCGTATCTGGGTGGTTGGACCTGTTTTCACTGAAGAATGAAGCTCTGCTGGCTTGGCAACGAACCCGCTGCGTTTCCTATAATCGTTGATAATGATAGCATTGGAACGGGGGAAAGCTTTTAATGTGAAGAGGCGGCAGCAGGGAATGTGAGAGCAATCAGTAAACGGTAAAATAACGCCGAAGTACAAACAGGAAAGTCCAAACCACTGAGACTCAGGTGGAAGCCAGAGAACGTGTTGAGAGCTGAACGCAGAGAGGCTTTTAGAAACGGAGCTTTCCCTCCGGTCTCAAGCGCCAACACGAGCTTAGCCACCAAAGACACGGCTACACAGGCAACCCTTTGTGGCCTCCAACATTCCCTGTGGTCAGAGTTCTAAACGTCATGCACAGCTGTTTCAGTTGAATTAGTTGGACAAGTTTTGTTGTCAGCCAACTCAAAAGAGACCAAAATGTAATGTTTCTCTGCTTGTTCAGGCGGATGAGAGCTTGGAAGCGAGTGTAATCTAGGTTTCACACCAAAACAGCGTTTCTGATATTAAGCGGCTCATTGTAGACATCGGTTCGTAGTGAATACAGCTGTTTACAGCTGCAGCTTAACGGTCTGTGCTTCAACAGCTGTAACCTGTGTAGTCTGTCACAGTCTCCAACAGCTTCACATGAATCTGTGCATCTCTGTGACTGCGCATATTATTTACCAACTCAAACACACCTCATTTAGAGTTAAGTGATTAGTTTAAACTCAGGATTAATTGTATTAACATTGGCTAAAATATTCAACTCTTTCCCTCTACTGTGTGTCAGTAACATGATTTTTGTCCGTATGGAGATTGAAAGCATTAACTGTAAGTCTTTAGACTGATGTGAGAATGACGTTGAGTCAGACGTCACACAGCTCCCTCTGCAGACATTAAAGGCCTTCTATTACCTTATATTACTGGAAACACCTTGATGTGTAAAATCCCCTTTCATGTTTAACATGCGGTGTTTTTTTCAGATGCTGTTTTGCTCAACAACATCGTGCAGAACTTCGGGATGTTGGACCTAGTGAAGAAGGTTCTGGCCAGTCACAAGAGCCAGATGGACCGCTACAGAGAGCAGTACACTCGCAGCCTCGCCGGTCAGTACAAGGGCCCTGAACAGAGTCTTAGCATTCAGGATGGAGTCGTGTTTTGTGTGTCAGCTGTGGAGAAACGCGGACCCTGCATACAGATGATGTGTTGTCTCCCTCTGCAGCTCTGGAGCAGCAGTGCGACGAGCACAGGAAGCAGGCCAAGGAGCTGAAGAGCAAATCCCAGCACCTCAACAACGTCCTGATGACCCTCACCCCGGTCCCCGCGCCCCCAGCGCCCAAGCGCCCGCGGCTGACCCGCGCCGTCTCGGGCCCGGCCTCAGTCAACGCCACCCAGATCACGCTGCCACTCAGCCAGCTGACGGGCCTGCAGCTCGGCAAGATGCTGACCGTGGCGGGGGCCTCGCCCGGCACCAACCTGGGCGGCTACACCTTCCTGACCTCCTCGCTCTCCGGGTCCGAGCTGGGGGCCGACGCCTCCAACCTGACCGTGCTGTCCGCGGCGGCGGGTCAGGAGGGCGGCTTCAAGGTGGTCGGCCCCCAGTTCCAGCTGGTGACTCTGCAGGCCGCGCTGCAGAGCTTGGCCGCCGCGCAGCAGCCGGTTGGCACCATCAGCGTGGTGGACGTCACGGCGACCGCTGATGAGTCTCAAGAGGAAGGCCAGGCAGACGGCGATGAGGAGAGGCAGCCGGAGCAGGAGGACAGGGAGCAGCAGTGAGACAGACGACAGCTGTCCTCTCCCCAGTCCCCCAGCTCCTTAGCCACCTTCATTTCAATATTTTGGACGCTGGACTGATCGTGCGATGGATGGAGGGATCGTCCACATTTTGACTTTTTCACATCAGCTCATGCACGGTCTTCACTTGTCACTTAACACACGAGCCTTCCTTGTAGGTGTACGTCAATTTTCAAGATACCTAGATTTCTATCGTGGCATCTGGTGTGAGTGGTGTGTGATGTGACTGTAAATATGTATTGGTAACTAATATATTTGATACAGCTCTTTCTGTAGGGATTTATTCCACATAGGCTGGAGTAACAAACAGTGTTGTTTAGTTTGATAATAAACGCTCACTTTTCAAGAACAGATTGTGTCTCACTGTTTCTAGTAAATATGAACGTGTTCTCTAGCGACCAACCGGCAGAGGAAAACTGGATCGTACATTTTAGAGCTTTTTTTTAAATCCCAACTCGCGGTCAACTCACTAGCTTTCCCCGGATGTCTTCATCAAACAGCTCGGTTGTCATGGAAGCTTCACAGCTGTGGTCACATGACAACTATTACTAATTAGAAAGAGGAGGGTAAGAGACCAATGTTTCATACACTAATATGTTCTTTTTGCTATTGAGGAAAGTGATATAGACCATCAGGCTGTATAACTAGTATAGAAAGTATATCAGATCAGTTCTGTGTATTTCAGCACTATCGCAGGGCTGCAGTGTTCTCTTCATCTGGTGGGTCAGTGAGTCCTTTGATTAAACAAAGGTCAGAATGAAGGACTGATGCACCTGGACCAGTGAACCGGGCTCTGGATCGCGTCTGTCGTTTGGCCACAAGATGGCGCAACCGTCTCACCGTCCAGCGGCTCCCGGTCGTTCCTCTGGTTTGTCCACGCGCTTCAGATTTGAGCTTCCTGGTCTCCTGAGAAGTGCCTCTTGGACTCTTTGCGCACAATAATGTGATTGTTTTTGGATCACGGTAAAATAATAAGCAGCGCGTGAACTGACTGTCTGAATCTCAGTAACGGGTTAGATTGATGGACGCCAATAACGGGAAAACGGCAAACACGTTATATTTTGGCTTTGCGGGATATTTCGTTATAAAAAAACGTCTGACAGAAACGGTAAATAAAAAGGAAGCATACCTGTAGAAACATGAATAATCGAACCATGCCATATTGGTTTCGGGTATATGGATCTCATATTTAAACTTTGTATTAACCAATAGCTTCCTCACCAAATGTTATGGTGGTATGATCATTGAAATGTTTTACTGTTTTAAGTTTATTATTTATTTTCAAACTCACTTCAGAAAAAAAAATTGTCAGTTATGAGAAAATGTGGCACAAACGTAGGCATCTCATTATTTTATTAATATGTCACACGCCTTCCTTTAATGAAGGATACACATACAATATGAACCAAATTTAGGATTAAACAAAAATAAGTATTTAAAATTCCACTATGACGTATGCCAAATTTAAGAGTATCTTAATATCTTATTTTATTTATGACAGTCTCGTCACGTCCAGGTATGAGTCCGCCGATAAGGAAAAATAAAAGGACCAATATGCTGAAGGGAGTTTGGCGCGAGGGCTGAAATCAGTCAAGTCGTTTTGAGTCGTTGGCAAACAGGAAAGTGGTTTTATTCATGTTTTTATTAAACAAGCATCATTTATTGAATGACAGACGATGATGCCAACAACACAGAGATGATAATTATTTTTACACAGAAGGCAACCGAGCTGGCTGTAATATAGGCAGGCATATGATACTTTCTGGTTAAATGGTGTCATTTCAAGTGAACCTGCACAAGTTCTTCGTAGTTTTTCTTTATTTTCACCCCCTGCAGAGTTCATCTATAGGCTCAAGTCATCGTAGTAATACGGCTCCTCGGCCGAGCGCACAGAGATTTTGAAGTGGCGGCGCAGAAATCCTCCGTAACGCTTGTCCCACTTCAGGTTGTTCAACTTTGGTCGGATCCGCCTCATGAAGCCCCCGTAGCGCTTCTGCAGCTCCTCGGGCTCTTGGCTCTCCGTCTCCGCGGAGCTAATCCTCTTTGATTTAGGACCGAATTTGCGTAAAAAGCCGCCGTAACGCTTCACGTAACTGCGGAGCCGGTCCTCCGCGGCGTCGTCTGAGTCCGGCGGCGCGTCCGCGTCCCTCTCCTCCAGCCTCTTCAGCAAGTCCTCATACTTCTTGGGCAGCGCCCCGGCCTTCAGGACGTAGTTGTCGCGCCACGGAGAGGCGAAGATTTTGTTCTTGTTCTTGTCGATCCTCTTGATGAAGCCGCCGTAGCGCTTGACCAGGTCCGCCTGCTGGCTCTCCTCCTCCGCCGCAGCTTCGTCCTGGCTGAAGTCCGCCAGCCCCGAAACCCGGTCGCAGCTCTCCAGCTGCCCCTCACACTCGGTGTTGCACGACTGCGGGACACAGGAGAAAAAGAGTATGAGACAATATGAGGCTATACATGCATTCACACTGACACATTTGGCATTTTTAACTTTAGGATTTAGGAAATTGAAATAGACAAAAAAAATAAACGAAGTTTCGTTGAAGAGAAAACAATTTCCAAGTTTAAACGTGGATAGATGTCCGAAGTTAACCCAATTCCAATTTAGGCGCCCGCTGCCAATCATTTCAAAATTAAACTGACAAAAAAAAAGAATGCAACTAAAGCCCAATAAATTCTCCAAACAGCAGCAGTTTTTTCCGCCTCTCTCTCTCTCTCTCTCTCTCTCTCTCTCTCTCTCTCTCTCTCTCCCTCTCTCTCTCCGTGCTTCGTGTTAAGTTGTCTCCGGTCTTACCAGGCTGCTGAAGGCGGCGTCGGGGCCGAGGATCTGCTGCACGCATTTCTCGCACTGCGAGGAGCAATCTGCGTGGATGGAGGGCGGCAAGCTCAGCATCAGCACCAGGACATACCACTCCATTCTTCACCAGATCCCTGGCACACGCAAAGACGCATACACACACACACACACACACACACACACACACGCACAAAAAAGAACACAGGCAGTGAGTCTGGGTAAGGCTCAGAATTGAACTGGCTTGGTTTTGAGGACTCGCAGACTGTATACATAACTTAACTTGTAGCTACTCAAGAAAATGACTTGCTTCCTGAAAACACTCTTAATTGAGTCAGCTTTGATAATAGCCCGTTAAAACACACGATGATATTGATCATGTGGACCTGTGCGCAGTGCGTAATGGCGCACCGAAGCCAAGTCTTTCTGTCAGCACTTTGTTACAAGAAAATAGAAATATGAAGTGTGTCTTCACTCAGACCAGAAAAGACAGTAAAGTTAAAAAAAAAGTGTAGAGTCGGTACCTCAGGAGTTGGACAGATTCTTCCAGCCGTAGTAAGACTCACAGAGGCGCATCTACCATCAAACGTCCGCCCTCCAACTCTTTGTGTTTCTCCTGCGCGGCTCGTCGCCTTCGCTTTTTATCGCCGGAGACTCGGTCGTGTCACCGCGGCGCATCAGAGCATTCTAATAAGGGACCAATGGGAGGGGAATGTGCTGCGTAAATAAGCCCACCGCCTCCCGGCTTCGGGAGGTTTTTGAAAACAACGCCCACACAGAGAAGGTATACCATCATTCCATCTCTCGGGGGGCCTCGATCAGAAACCTGGGCTGTAAAAAAAAAATCACACAATGAACATCAATGAACAAAGTGATTTCTCTTTTTCAGTAAGACTGAAAGAAAGTAACCTACAGGAGAGACTTCAATAGAAGACACTGTTTGATATAAACACGATGATGAGATCTTCATTCATCGCTGTCATTCACATCTTAAGAGAAAGGACTGGTTTGGACATTGCTGGCCTTCAGCTCACACCTTTCTTTTGACCATTTGAGTGTAGTGGAACAAGCTGTGAACACAACACCAACATTATCACCATATAAAGTTGTTAACTTTGTACTTCAGTTAACAGATGGGTCTTTTGCCACATAGCAGATTTGGAGCAGCACGATCATTCATCTGAAATATGCTTGTGTCCACCTGATGAATGTAAGTATAATATTCCTTCGTTTAGCTCTTTTTTGGTCTCTAACTATTCCTGAGGGGAATATAAAGGCACCGGTGTGTTCCTCGTCTCTAGCTGTGTCGTTCTGCTGTTTGTTGTTGAGCAGGTTGTGAACAGTGCCTTTATCACATAGACTTTCAGAAGTGGACGTAGTCAAGGTGACGTCACCCTTTGGTTTGTGGACTTCTGTTTTGAAGTCTCACGGTCAGCATTTTGGCCGTCGCCATCTTGTTTTTGCAACCACAAGTGACACAAAAGGGCGGAGCTAAGTACAACTGAAAGCAGCATTTGACATTTTTAGGCAACCAAAATGTTTCAATTAACTTTGACAAAGGGAAAACACACAGTGAAAGGGTTAAAGTTGTAAGACGAAAACACAGACAACTCCAACGCTGTGGTAGCGACCTGTAATCAAAAGGTAGCCCCGCCCCTAAAGCATACCCTGCTTTATGGTCTGTTTGACTCTAAATGGACCATAATTTACTAAAAGAACATCATGCTGTATTGAAGAAGACTTGAAATACAGCAATTGAGACCATAAACAGGCAGTGTTCCTGCAAGACACTGAACCCTTAATTGATCCCCCCCGTTAGGGGGGCTGGAGGGGAGGAGTCCTAACTTAATATTACGGGGTAACCGGCCCCCTCTGGTCCCCATCTAGAACCGCCCCTGCTTACAATGTTTAGGTATTAAATCCAGATAGAAGTAGGGTCATTTTTCTTATAGATTACTGTACACTCAGACTTCTTTTTTTTACAACCAGAGCAGTTGCCCTCTGATGGATGTTAGAGAGAATGCAAATGAAAGGCACTTCAGCATTGCCTTCACTTTCTAGACCCGGAGGGTTTCCGCCTGGTTTATCAGAGCTTTCTCACTGAAAACAGCTGCCTGCTGTCTGCTGGTACTGAGACTGAACCAAAACAATAAAGTCTTGGGCTGTAAAACCCAGGGGAACTGCAGTATTGGTGATAAGTCAGTGGGTTTGCTTTAAACTAACAAAGTGCCGTCCTATCACGTTTAAAGACAAGTGTTTATACAGTACCTGTTTCAAATGGCCAAACTCAAAGGTAGAGTAAAGTCTTGATGCAATTCATTGAACACACGGGCAAACTGCTGCACACTGTTGGACATTCTTTCCTCAAAGTTATTCATTATGTTGCACTCGGCCTTTTGCATGAAAAGGTAGTTCTGTCTATAACTTGAGAGAGAATTTAAAGGCCCGCTTACTTTCATACCTTTGCACACCTGACCAATCCCTGTGTTAACTGGGTGTGACTGTCAGATTGTGCTTCGGAAGCTTACAAATCTGATCGGGCCACAGCTACCCCTGCATCGAGGCCATGGAAAGAAGATTTCGGACATTGCTTAACGACCCGATAAGCACTAACTATGAAGCATGCTTGCGCCTTAAGCACAATGCTACCCGGAACTCAAGAGGTATGCTGACTGTTCTGCAAAGCTTGGCCTTGTATCTTTGACTTTCTCCCGAAGCGCAGCTTTATGATGCACCACATGTGTCGGGCACTAACGATTTCTCAAACCTGAGTGGAATATGCTCGCGCCTCCCTCGCCTCTCGGGCAAATCTACGCCTACCGTGGTGTCATCATTGCCTTCATGCTGTGTCGTGTGGTCGGTGGATGCTTTCAGGCCGCTTTGTGCAGTAAATTAGCAGCAAGCGAGGTCAGCGAGCGCCCTGCGCTGCGCTGTGGGAGGTCCCCGGTGAAATGATCCACACATGACAATCGGGGGGCCTGGTCCCATTTCAAGGTCGAAGCCTTTCAAAGCTCATTGATAGATCAAGGCTACGCCGTCGGGCCTCCGTATCTTTGTTTTAGTTGACAAATGAAGAGAAACCTCGGCCGTGCGACTGACTGGTGCAGTCCACAAGTGCTTTTCACTCTGGCATGATAGCAAGTGTTTCACTTGGATTGGTTTTCATATTTCTTATTCCAAGATAAGAAATGATTTCTTGGTTTGCCGATGTTTGCACTGACATTACAGTCCTGTTGACAATGTGATATTTAATCCTGTTTGCACTTTTTATTTCATCCATCTTCACTTCGAGATAGAAATGAATCTCTTTAACTATCATGACAACTGTTTTCATCGAGTCATAACTTACTACGCTGTGACGGCGTTATATTCCTCTAGTTAGTAGAAGGTGCTGCTCAGCAATACTCAGGGGGCTGACACCTTCTACAGTTAAAATACATCCTTTTAACACACAAAACACGTAGCGCTTAAACATGAGGATTTAAGTCACCAACACAGTCACTCTGTCAGTCCGCCCAACACGTTGGTCCAGAGCAATATAGCTCCACTGTAATCTCCATACACATTTTCTACATTCAAGCGTTCTGGTTTTCTGTTTGTAGTCTGAGTAGTATTGACCAATCCCATTTGAGCAGGCTTTGCTGAGTGCAGGTAACAGTCTGTGTGTAGAGAAAAGAAGGTGGACAAAATGAAATTTAGCAACCCACCGGGTATTGTCTGGCTGTGATGTAGATTTTTATTGGTTTTAGATGAGCTTGTAAACTGGCTACTTGTGAAACAACGCGGTCGTACAAGTCGTCTCTCAACCCCAACTCCAGTCTCGCATCTCAAGTTGCTAAGTGGACTGTACACAATGAGCAGCGCGCAGAAAAGGAAGTCTTGGCCTGGATATCGGCAGGCTACATCCGAATCCCAGAAATATAACCTCTTGCCCAATAGCCGATGGATTCCAAGATTGACCCCCGCTGCTGCTGGCCAGGTTGCTGTGAAATTAGCTGTGGAAATTCTTAGGTCACCAGAAGATCAATCCTGATGGTTTTGGTAAAATTTTCCTCTAGCGCCACCATCAAGACACATATTTCCACTTTTATTACAGACAAAATATAATGGACAGATTGTCAAGAATTTATTGAGCTGATGGCCCCCAGAGGATGAACCCTCTCCATTTTTTCTTCCTGTTCTTTTCTGAAGCACCCCTCTTAAAATGTCAAAACCTACAGCGAGCACGCAGGAAAGCCACCTGGAAAGTCAACATAAACACGGTAAGGCCATCGGTTATTTTGTTTGGTGCTGATCCCTGCATGCTGTTTAAATGAACAATTAGAGTGTCTTTTGTGATGTTTGTTTTACAGGCTTCTTTTAGAAGGCCTAAACATTGTTACCCAATGGAATGAAAATTCCTGATTATGTTGAAGTTTTTTAACATTCAATGCCAATGTTTCCCAACAGAGGTCTGGTCAGCTTCCTTCAAACTCCACACCCCTATATATTTTTTCATTTTCAAACTTGTAGTCTTCAGCCCCAACCAACACTGACTTAAGTGAAATCACTTGAAACAGTTTATCAGACTTCCCACAGCTCACTCTGGAGACACTAAAGCATTGCGTAACCTCAACCATTACACCTGGTTCAGATTAGGCAAAGATTATATTTAAGTTAATAAAAAGTTTAAAAAACTCCGGTCTCTTCCATGAAAGTCAAGCCTACAGCCTACAGAGAGGTCAGAGCCCTGACATCTTATTGCCAGGACAAAAACCTGCATTTTAATGTCGGCAAAAGGAGCTGATTGGGAACTACAGGAAGTGACACAGAGAAGGACATGCCCCCATCTCCACCAATGGGACTACGATGGAGAGAGTCAAAAGCGTCAGGTTCCTCTAGGTTCACATCAGTGAGTACCTGACCTGGACTCACCACACCGACATCATCATTAGCATGGCGAGATAGTGGTTCTTCTTCCTCTGCAGGTTGTGGAGGCTCAACATGGAGTCCAGGATTCTCTTCAACTTCTAAAACAAATGCGCCCCGTATCCATTTTAATGCCAGGTGTAAAGGGGGTCATTGAGATTATCCCGACCGGCTGCATTATCGCCTGGTGTGGCAGTTGCACCGCCCTGAGAAAAGGTCTGCAGACAGCGGTGAAAACTGCTCAGCACATCACCAGGACAGAGCTGCCATCCATAGAGGACCTTTGCAACCAGTGGTGCATTAAAAAGGCCAACAGAGACCCCAACCACACCTGCCACAAACTGTTCCGCCCTTTTTCAGAGGCAGGCAGGTCGGTTCGGCCATCTGATCTGGATCCTCCTAGATGCTTGCTTTTAGAGATTTTACTAGCTAGTCCAACTGGTAAGTGGCCCCTAGGGTAGACCCTGAATACTCTGGAGAGATTATATATCTCGTCTGGTCTGGGAGCGTCTCAGGGTTCCCCATAAAGGGCTGGAAACATTTCTGGGGAGAAGGACCAATGGAATGCCCTGCTAAGCCTGCCGCCCCAACGAACTGGCATTGGATAGCGGAAAGTTAATGGATGGATGGAACAATCGTGGTCATGGTTAAAATAAATCAACATTGACTGTTGATTGATCTCTGGTGATAAAGTC